TTTTGTGTGTTGACTTTGTGGTTTGTTTTCAATAAGTGACACGGTCGTCTACTATGTACTCATATTAGATCCAAGTTCAGTACAGTTTTAGCTAACTCTTGTTCTGGCTTTTAGATCTTGCAACGTTTGATGCGGCTGTGCTAAAGTGGGCCAAAATGTRTTTTGAAGGTAAATGAGTCCATTATTTGTACACAAATACACTACATATTGCTTGACAAAGGCCAGTTAACAAAACTGTCGAAAATAATGGACTCCAAAGGAATTAAACAATTCGACAAAAAACTGATCATTTTGATTTGATTTTTGTTTAAGTCTCATAGTTGAAGAGAATGATTTATCTAAATTTGATACTATCTCTAGTCAGATAAAATATAGCAAAAACAGATATTGCAAAATACTCTGTCTAGAAAAGAGCCAAWTAGAATCCACTATGTTTATTTATGGCCGGTATTTAGACCTCGAGATACTAGTCCAAGCTGTTCAAAAGGAAGTCATAGAATTACAAGGCATAAATGACTAACAAACCACACACTTTCTAAGCACGTTTTGAAAAGGAAATCGGACTTTTATTACCCGATAAATAGAGTGATGCCTCGGTAGTAAATTCCTGGGAGTGAAAACTGCCTGCACGATTTGAGGTGAGCTGTTCCTGGATATCAAGTACACAAGGAAAGGCGGGGCACTGAGTAATCAACGTTAATGAAAAAGAGATATAATTAAGACGTCGTTTAAGATAATGATTTCCTGGAATTGACCCTTGTAAGCCAAGAAGGCCTTTTCCCTTGAAATGAGACGTTGATATGACATGGCGTCATTCCGGATTGAGTAATAACCATTATGTAAAAGAGTTCTATGCCGTGCGTCACGTTAATATAAAATCTAATCAATTTTCCCATCACGTTTCACGACATATTAAAGAAATAGCTTGCGTTATGTAATTGTATGACGCATTTCACGCTGTGTGTAACGCCAGTTCACAATCGTTGTATTTGACTGAGATATGTTGACTTTGTTTTATTGACTATTTAAGTTTATTGATACCGTGTAAATCTTAGAAATTAAACTAGGAAGTACTTTTGTACACATAAAATGATAAATCGCATGTTCCGTTTTAGCAGTATTTCAGTATATACAGCTGTAGATTATATTAGTCAAATATTGTCGATTGCTCTCACACAGGGAAGGACGACTTGTTTCGACTTAGGAAGTTTCGAACTGTCTCGTTTTTAAAAATACATCATTGATGTACAAGAGCTTATATTTTACATAGTCAGGTCCGATGTATTGCACAATGATATTAAAAAAAGCAACGAACATCTCGTGACTAAAACATAAGCAACATAGTTTGACAACCATATGACAAACGTGGCGTGAGTAATAAATCGTGGCATTAAGAGAATTAAACACCTTATGTTGTCAACGCATCAAATTGACGTGCTTGAAGACCTGCTACTGGTTACGCTTCCTCGCCTATCTTTTGTTGTCAAATGTTTCAATCCCATAATACGCCGGCAATATATAAGCTCTTCGGTCATACAAAACTAGCGTAGACTGCATTGTAGATTTAMAGTCAACTTCCTCGATCTCCTATGYCTTCGAAAGCGCGCAATCTAGCATTACTATATGTTTATAGCAAGGAAACAGTATCACTATGATGTCATAAAAGTCACGCCACGTGCTTGTTTCACAATCCACGCTTTCTTTACGTGACAGTCATTGACGTAACCGCGTTCACGTCAAACTCGATTGCTCAACTTACGAGTGACTGCATGTCTGGCACGTCAACCTCGTGTCGTCGAGAATGCACGGTATGCAATGACGTAAAGTGTTGAAATAATTCAAATTGATCAAATGTTCTAGAAGACGTCACGTCAAAGTCCTAAGGGTTATATTTATTTAGTTTCAATAACAGATATTATCGTCTGGAATGTTCGTTGGAATAATTTAATCCGGAAGGTCACCGCAATTATCGAAAAGAGCATCTAATACAACTTGTCAAAAGTAAAATGGCCAGTACAAGAAACAACAATAAACCCATAGAAACATGGATAAAAATAAACAAAAATAAGCTACAAAAGGCTGATTAACTGAACTGTTTAGGGATTATGTACTCTATTTTTAGTAATTATGATGTTAGCATCGATCAACCGCCATGTCTATTAGTATTTTCTAGAATTACTAATTGAACAATTTATAAAATTTGAACAATTACAGTAAAGAATGGAGTGGTATCAATTACTTAATAGATTTGTTCTTCTGGTGATTTTCAATGTTCTTTACATTATTTCTTTACTGGCGTTTGGAATCTTACTCTACATTAGAAAACTTGAAGTTGTCACTTTGGGGTTGTCACTTTGTAATTTAGCAGTTACTTTCATAAAGTTTTTTCATAATTTTATCATCGGTTTCTAAGTCTTCTCAGTTAAACTTTTAAGTTGATTAATAATATATTAATAATTAGTAAACTAAACTCAGTRGTGCCATTTTCTGAATTCCGTACTTTACAAAATGCGCTTTAATAAGTATGAGGAACTAAAGTTCATGTCAATCATGGCTGATTTTGGACATTTTCAAATATAATTCAAAGTTTCCCTTACATTCCTATATCCAAATAGGACATATTTCAAGACGTYAAGTCAGTAAACAAATACGACCTTTTTGAACGAGTACTTCCTTATTGGTATCTTTTCGATCTTGTTCGCTCTAGAACTACTTGTCAAAGTCTGGCTACCAAACACTTGCCTTAATAGAGCAAATACTAGAACATTCACCAATAAAGAGATTTATTTTTTTCTTTATATTCCTAGTGAAAAACACTACCCAGCATAGCAAAAAGAAAATCTAAAAATACTTATGTAAACATTATTTCTCGAAAATATAGAGTGTTCATAACAACGCCCTAATTATACCATAAGTAAAATAATATATTCAAGTTTTTAACTATAACAAAATAAATAATAAACAAGATAAAATAGATTAAATTGCTATTTATAGAACGCTCGGTTAAAAATAGTCGTATTATTTTCGTGGGCACCGACAGGTGAAAACCAAGTCCTTGTTTCATATGCAGATTTCTAACTGTGAAGTTTTATTCCTTTCTTCGCCTTTTGCTTAAATTATTATACCGCGTTTTTGTTTCTTGAATAATTGATAATATATTTTGTCATATATTGTATTTTTCACACTTTAAATATTCTCGTATTGTAGAATTTGGTGCCGAAATACATGAAATATAGCYGTTGAAATGCCAACCAGATATATGTGTTGTGAAAATTAAAATAGGTTTAAATTCAAAGGCGACAAACAATATGCGGCAACCAGAAAGCGATCAACGTCACCGATACTACTGAGATATCTTTTCATTTTCCACCATTCTCAAAAAAGCGGCCGAAAAAGGCCATGATAAATAAGATAACGTAAAAATATTATAAACCGTTGTTTGGTGAGTCCGCAAGAAGTGAAGATTTCATTTCTGATATACAATAAAAACGTTTTTTGAGCATTAAAATCTAGTTTTTCGTTGATATCAGTGATATCGTGTAAATTATGGTTCTCGTTATAACGAAATATGAGACGTATATCGAAAAATAGCCGATAGATTCGCTTCAAACGATCATTCGTCGAGTAAATTAAATGGGTTGTTTTGTATYCAAACATATACCAGAAAAAAAAAGATCGCGAAAAGCATTTTCCGAGTTCCATGACGAGAAAAAGCGAAAAAATGAATTTTATCAATGTCCGTTGTAATTATGCAGAATGCGATGTGATCTGTCTCCGTCGCATCCACTATTATTAGAATTACATTTATTTTTTGTAGTTTTTGTCTCGAGACTATTACAGATAGTCGTCAGCAAAGTGCTAAATTCATACTGCACCTGTGCGACGAACAAGAGATCTCCAATGCGATCGACGTCAAAGTACGTCACAGTGTTTATTTTTAGTGCAAAATAGAAATTGCTTTCCAAAAACTGAATGCACCTGCTTCTGGCTTTGTTTGTTCTGGAAGAAAATTCTTAATCTGGCTTAATCGATAACACCCACGAAGCTGACAGTACGATCTTAAAATATATATTTATAGTAAATTTTTATATTTTTGGAACATAGATTATTCAGGAAAGAATTAAAATATATAAAGCGAGTTCCGAAAAAAATATCGGTTAGTCGCAAATAATAAATTAGTAAGACCCGGTTCTGGCGGCGTCCATGAAAGATATGATATTTCAATGAATAATTTAGAATCTGCATATCATACAAAGGATCTTTTTTTGCCATTGTACTTTTGGGGATTAATTTAAATTTACTTTTCTCAGATAGGCTTTGTAATTTGCATTTCAAATTCAACATTCGCAGCAGTTTTCTTCAAATAATAAATATTTAATGCTGTATTTGTTTTTACACATGTCACCTTATTCTTTTAATATTTTTCTCACTTTTCGTGTTTTAAAAATAAAATTCATAAAAACGCTCAAGAAATAGAGGTCAAAATATAATTTCGCTTGAATCAGACCGGATTGAATCGAGAGATTTCATTGTATTCGTAGCTGAGTGACGCCCAGTGTTCTAGAAACCACGTCAAGAAACAAACAGATTCTACACTACAATGCCCCGTCTCTATAACAACTGATCCGTACAATAGATGACGTACATGCAAATTACATGAAAAAGTTATTCGTGCGACCGAGTCGGTATTTTAGCTTCACTTCGTAATCACGATTTGATGCCATATACAAAGGCGATTCGAGAAAAAAATTATGCCGAGTGCCTACCGATTCAATTAGTACGTGAATATTCTCAAAGAATTCTTAACTAGATGTAACAAAGTTCGTTCCAATCGAGATCAATCAATTCCATTGACGATACCTATTGATCAACATTTTGACTGACGTCAGTACGAGCGTCACATTGACGCACGAAACTAAATATAGACTAGTCTCTGATTGGTTGATCTCAAAGCCGAATGTTTCCCGAAACGCCGAATCTTCATTTAAGGAGGACGCCCACTCCTTTCCGACACAAATCGTAGAGTTACACGAAGAGAGATAGTCGACGGACAAAACAAGGAAAACCGTTTTCCGAAAAAAATCCAAGTTTGTCGTTGTTATTGCGGGCAATAACACGACTTTAACATAACTGTAGATCAGTTCAAAAAAAAMTTCAACTTCATTTCAAGTCATTTGAAGGCTCAACTATACTAAACCAAGATGATTACTATGACCGAAGCTTTGGACAGCCTTGCTCAAGTTGCCACTGATCAACTTTTTGCCTTCGATACGTCGAACTTCTTTACCCCACAACTAGCTAGACAAGTACCGCTGGGTAGTGAGGATTTTGTCACAGGCATTGATGAGCCAACGAATATCTTTGGTGAGCCGATAGATTTCCACGACACTACCGTTACAGGTACAAAACCTTCTCGGATATAAACACTTTGTTTACTTCGGAAGTAGAAGTATTCTAGTCGCGTGGACAGTGTGGGCAGATTTCGAACCGAATTAGAAATCACGTTAAACTTTATATATGTTAACCTTTATGATAGAGCTTTTCCATTTCCCGTGGCACCCATTGTGAAGCATTTTTACCGACGTACGTGTCCTTAGAATTCCTAACATCAAAATTCACTTGAACGGTTAAAAGTTCGCCTTATACTAATTCCCGCTATGCCTTTTAGAATCAATTTTACAATTCAAGGTAAACTTTATGGATTGTTTACCAATTTATAAAGTTTTTTCGRTCAATTCACGTTTGTACATTCTTAAACCGCGCGGTTGAACTAAATGGAGCGTTCATAATAATGCGTCAAATAGTTAGATATGATAGAATTTATAATTGAATTGCCTAGCGATTGTACTTAACGTATCTTTATGATTTGATTAACAGGAGACCTTGATTTTGGAGCCGTTCCTGAGATAAAACAAGAAGGTGGCCAACAAAAAGGATGTCAGCAAAGACTCGCTCACTACAAGGGACCAAGTCTACACGACTTTACCACAACACCAACAGTATCTACACCACCACCAACTAGTCAAGCTTCCCCTTACAGTTCACCTGCTCACAACTGGTGGATTCCCGATCGTACGTTTCTGACTCCTCTTATCAGCCAGTCAGCAAGTACGTGGAATCAATCAATTGTCCAGGACCCAAAGATACCTGTCACTCAAGCACAGATTCCAGAACAACAGCCACTTTCAGACAACCATGAAGAAAGCATTTTAGCAAAGACTCAGGCCAACATGATGCAAAGACCAACTCAGCCTCAGAACTCAAATACTAGCCCCATGTTTATGGAGTCATCAGTTACTGCGACTCTTAACATGAAATGGCCTATCGTTGGAAGTACTTTCCCTAACTTTGTACCAAATGACCAGACATCAGTTCTTGATAAAATGTTACTTCAAAACAATGGAAACCTTGATTTTATAACTGCTCCACCAACTAAGCCAGCTCAGAGAGGAAGACCCGCCAAAGCAGGAGCTTCTCTGTTGAAAGCAAAGCGTAGCAATCCTACTGATGGACGCTCAAGAACACCACCGAGTGAACGACCCTACGCTTGCCCAGTAGAAACCTGCCCAAGGCGTTTCTCTCGATCTGATGAGCTGACAAGGCATATGCGTACGCATACAGGACAAAAACCATTCCAATGTCGTATCTGTATGAGGAACTTCTCACGATCAGACCATCTAACAACTCATATCCGTACACATACTGGAGAAAAACCATTTGCCTGTGAAACATGTGGACGACGCTTTGCTCGCTCTGATGAGCGCCGTCGTCACATGAAAATTCATTTACGAGAACAAGCAAAGAAAGAGGAGGAAGCAAGAAAAGCTCTGGCAGCCCAACAACAAAATGACTGTATTACACCTCTTCAGGGCAGGTCCCCTCAAGCTACGCCACCACCTATGCATATACCAGTTACATCTGTAACATCATTCTAAGAACATTGCTGCTGGAACAGTATAAAGTGCAGGCACTTATAGGATTTTAAAATATTAGGAACACTTTACAGTGCTGGCACTGAAAGACTTTATATCAAGTTCAAGATCTTTATGAGAAAAAAAATGTATGATACAAACATTGTGGACAAGTTGTCCATCAATCTATTTAATAAGTATATTAAACAAATAGGCTGGCCCTATTAAATGTATATAGTTTTCACATACAGTACCAGGTTTGCAGGTCTACCTGTACTACTGATGACCTATTTTGGTATGCTAGACAGACATTCAAGTAAAATACAGAACCTTTCTGTAAAGTATTTACATTGTTACGCTATTTTGTGTAAAATAATTATCATGCAAGTACAATTTGTTGCTCTTGATATAGGAAGGGAAACACAGCCTACAAAGTGATGTGCTATCTAGTTTGTTGCTTGAATTGACAGAAATATATTGCTATTATATAATACATATAACTCTATAATAATGGACTGTAGGCATATTTCTCTTCCTCTACCAAAGAAAACAAGAATGAAACCTTTGAGTGTCATGCTGGCCATGACTATTGTGCATCAGTGCTGGTAACTGATATTATTAAAAATGTTTTGAAAATAACATTGTCTCCTTTGAGTGCTTCACATTGCATCATGCTGACAGACACTACCTCAATAACATTCAAAACAACTTAAAAACACTCACTAAAAGCAAAATGTTGAGAAAATGATATCAAACATAATATCATGCCATCATAAAAATCAGTCAAAATAACAACTATTATTCACAAAAAAGTGGAAAAAACATTTTGATGAAAGAAAAACAAAAAACAATCTTGAATGCCACAAGCTTGAATTATGTATGGCTTTATGACTATGGGTTAAGGAAACTTTATGGCATAATTATACTAAAAAAACTAGTGGAGCAGAAACAATGTGGACARTGACGTCCTTGGCAAGACAACTTGTGTGAAGTAGACAGTGAGATGACAGAAGGAATAAAAAAAAAGTTGAGTTGAAGTTTGATTTTCTTCAAGGGCATATTTTGATAGTCCTACATGTTGTGATTGAATGGTGCTTCATCACTTCTCATGACTAAAGAAAAGATTATGAGTAAATGCAATTGCTCAACGGGCTACATATTGTGCTTGATATTTTTCACACTGTATACCACAAAACTTATTACTGAACGCTCTTTGACATTGACGTCTGTTTTTTATGCTTGAAAAACAAAATACTGGTTTTGATAGTTCTACTGTGTGACCACCCACAAACTTCAAATAAACACTGAATTATGTATGTTTTGAACTTTGTAAACAGTGTTGATGGTTATTTGTATTTTAGAAAATAAGATTATTCTGGAATTGCTTGCAGTGAAAATTTGTCATTCCTATTTAAGGTTGTGATAAATGTGATTGATTGGTAATCCTTTGAATTTATCAATGATGGTTATATTTTGGTTAACACAATCTGTTTGGTAAATCCTTTTGGACATGACTGGGAGCATATGTTTTTGACCACATTGTGGAAATCCAGAACGTACTTCAACTTTGAATCACGAATCTGCCTTTATTATCTTACTATATAGTCTTTGAATCATATGCAAACATAACTATATTTGTTTTCATAAAAATTATATGATCATCAATAATACAAATTTATTCTCATTTGTTGATAAAATTTAACACTGGCTCAATATGTAATGTGGAAAAATCTTTTTATTGACAAACTWTTATGATGAGGAACGAGTTAACATCAGAAAACAGTAGCATTACTAAATATTATACAACGTTATAGAAAATTAAAAAATATTCAATATTTAAATCTACTGCTGATTTATAGATTTAGCCATGACTATGACTGACTTCATTGAATTTTAACCTTATAAACTTTTAATGAATTTGACAAATTAAATTACATACAAGATGGGTATGGAAAACTTAGTCAATAGTGTATGGAACTAGCCACTCCACAGTCATTTATTGGCATGTGGTAAGAGGGAATTAAAGGAAGCTGAGAGCTTTTAAGCAGCTGAGTTAATTCATACAAATAGTGTGGTTTTCAAAAATCCATGAGCAAATGCACTTTGTCACTCTTTATTTTGAAAATATTTTTGTGTTTGGTTAGTTAAACATCATTATATACTTTGACTATTTAACCCAATACACTTATGTTCCCAAACATCCCTCCCCTACCTCCTCCCATGAAAGAAATTCTTCCCCTAATTTTTCCCGTAGGGGGGAGGGGTGAGAACAGATGTATACCGGCTATGATGATATTGCATGAAATTTCTAATTATCAATGACCATCAATCAATTAGATCATGTGGAGTCAAGTGGACTGCGAGTTGATAGTCCTTGAGACCACAACTTGTAGTTCAACAGACCAAGTGGTTTAATAATTAAAAATTATTGTTTTAATATCCACCAAACTATTGGACAAATTTGAAAAAAAGATTATAAAGAACAACGTTTCTCAACATTTTTTAACTATTTTTGTTTTATTTTGAGACAACCATGGTCTATCATAAATATACCATAGTTTATTGTAGTAGCCAATCAGAAAGCAGAATTTGTGATAGCCCATAGTTTGATGGATTCATATATTAATCCACCTACCTATGGTATTAAGTTCTACCCTGGTGCACAGTTGGCTGTTGACGCTGTTGGTGGTAGTCAATGTTCAAATACACCTGTCAAAGATAGRTAAAGATCTGRTTSTGCTGTTTTCTAGATGTAATGTTGTTTCACTCATTCTTCACTCCTAGAAATTTCTYGATGGTCCACTATATATTGGGAAATATCTAGAGGCACAGCCCTGTAGTAAATCGTACATAATTTTGAGCTTACAGTGAATTATTTTGTACCCAAATATGCATATAAATAGCCCCCATATCTCTCACATTTGAATTCATTTCCCTAGAGGATAGGCAGCCCCCCTGACAACCTCCTTGATATTAATACCCCATGGATCCCCAATCTGATCAATTAAAATCTCCTTGAAAACCCTAATTCCCAAGATTTATGGAGTACACTCTTCTAGCGATGACAAATGAATCAAATCTTTGAATGATGTGGCCTAGTATCAAGGATTTTTTCAACGTTCAAGGTCAGGGAACACGGGGCCATGTCGCTCTGATTTTTGCTCTAGTTGATCTGATACATTGAAATATAGTATGAAAATTGATTGCAARCTACCTGGAAATTCCAGCAAAAGAATCGTGGTATGATTTTAGCTTGTGCTTCATTGAAGAAAGCAGAAATGTATAAACAATTTTCTGCAGACCATCATTTGATCGAAGTGTTACTTTGACGATCGACAAACGCGCTCATTCTCAGCAYGATTTTGATTGGTCGATTTGTATACCAAACCAAATAAGGATTGGAAATCCCCAATGAGACCGAGATATGAATATCCTGCTAGTTAAGTGATCAAACCCGTAAAAATATTTTGCAGTTATTTTTAGATAATCCTGCAGATAGTTATCCCGAGAAAACTCAAAATTCTTCCGGTTCTATCATTTTAAAAGTGGTCTGTTTGTGCATGGGGACCACATTACGCCACGTCAGCGGTTCAAGTGAGGCTTGGCGGGAAACTTTAAAGCCACCAATCACAGACAAGATAGTCTGACAGAGAATCCCTGGTATTTTTGTTGATGTTATTGAGCGGTAGCCATGTTGGCTAAGCTGCTTCTTTTAGTCGTTTATTTCCTTGTAGTGTTTTTAACAACTCGAATTCTCGATGCCACATCGAGCTGGCTTGAAGCTGGATGTCTTGCTACACATTTTTTCGACCCTTTTACGCTTAGCGTACGGAAACTCAAAGCAATTCTAGAACGAMGAGGTGTTAGTTATACCGGGATTGTGGAAAAGAATGAGCTTGTTGATCTTGTAGAGGCGTCGGGAGCAGTGATAGAGCCCGATCTATCGGAGCAGGATCATCTAGAGTCAGAGGAAAGAGAAGAAAAGGTTGAATTCTCGGGGGCTTCGCACTTCTTTGAAGAAGTAGAAGACACGAAAGCAGGGAGTTGGCTTGTTGAAGTTATTCCTCAAGGTTATGGCCCTTCATTAACAGCTAAACAGTGGAAGGCATTAAAACGTAAAGTAGCATGGTTTGGCATAAGAATTGGGACATTTCGATGTGAGAATGACCCATGGCTTTGTCGTAAATATAAATGGAAAAAATCAGCCATTATTCTGTCTATGCCTCAAAGTAACCAGCCAAAAGGTAACGTCATATTCCAAACTTATCAATCCACAAGCAGACCCAATGTGGACTATGTCTACCGCTGGGTGAATTCAAGACTATCGACTAAAGTCCACGAGATAGAAGATTTGAGTKATTTTCGTCAGAGTCTAAAGGCTGAWTTGGAAAAAAATTACATATATGTTGTGCTTTTTACGACCCTTCCTGAACCCCCAATGTACCTAACATCGTTATCAATCAAATTCACTGGTAGAGTCCAATTTGCTTACTACAAATCCACAGCTAAGGATTACTCAAAAGAACTCGGGGAATTTGGAATAAAAAGAATACCAACTCTTATGTTGTTAACCCCCGAAAAAGAATTTGTTTTTGGATTTAGAAAAGGAGAACAGATAGATTATAAAACYATGGATTTATTTTTAAAAACTATGCATCCTGAAGTAAATGATATTTTCCTTGGTGCACTGGTTGCAGTGAACTTGTCCTGCTTACTTGAAGTGTTTATAATGAGAGGAGGATTGCTAAGAAGAACATTTCAATTGATGTGTATTTTGACATTCTACAACACAAGTCTGATATTACTTTCACTCCCAGTCATTGGTTTGTTCCAACTTCCTGGTCTATCACCAGTACTTGATGTTGGACTAAAACTATGTCGTTCTGTCATGACAACTGACCTGGCTGCTACCATACGCAATGACTTTTTATTATGTGCTAAATACAGAGGTGCRGCRGTGACRGGCTTTGTGATATTTGGGCTKTTTGTCGGCTGGATGAAAAAGAAATGGAAATGGTAYTTTAATGGAAGKGATGATGAAAATGATACTGATCCGAATGCTGACTGGCTAACACAAGACCTTAGCTACTTCTCACAACTAGCTCAGTCATTCTCATATTGGAATCCACAAATGAACTACACATCTACCAGTTTTGAAGATGGTTTTGAAATGCTTGTCAGACGGTTAGCTGTCCCTGATCTTTGGCTACAACCTGTGTTTCCAACTGACTACATTCAACACTTACCTACATGGTCTTTTTGCWGTRAAGATGGCTSCCATGGGGACAMAAATCAAGAGGAYAACCCTGGTACAACACTCTGTCAACARTATGGTAAACCAACATGGATGCTYACWTGYAMTGACTGTGCTATTTGTCTAGAAGCCTTTAGCTGTGGTACAACTTTATTAGGCTTACCATGTGGCCATTCATTCCATCAAAAGTGCATATGCATGTGGTTGACAAGTGGTAACACAGTGGCACATCATTGCTGCCCTAGCTGCCGACGACCTGCATACATGCGCAAACATAGGGAACCATGTCAAGGTCAAACAGTTAACAATTACTTGTAATAGATCAAGGAAATTATTTGGTTATATCAAAATACTAGTGGCTGTGTTACACTAATACTATAGTAACTTGGGGTTGTATGTTAAAACTAATAAGCTGATTAAATCAAGGCAAGCTGTCAATGTGCATGGCATTCAAATGATTAATATTGTTACTCATACAATTAAAAATTTCATGATTGTCACAAAAATTTGTAGTTTGCCAAAATTTGAATATACTTGTGCAGTTTTATTGCATTTTTGACTTCTGTTTATTGRTGGAAGTGTTATTCATGCTGAATTGCAGTTTCAAATAAAAATTCATGTGAAAAATAAAAGGTTTTCTCCATTGAACTTCATGTGTAATCATTTGCTTTTCTGGTTCTGTGCTCAGATATAAACATGGTGGGATATAAAGAGCACTTGAGGAGAGGAAAACCTGACTTATGCTCACAAGATATCTCCTTTTGTGCTCTTTATTGAAAAAAGAAACGACTGTGTACTTTCATGACTGCTTTATTAATTAAAAATTGATTTGTCTACAAAAGTTGAATGAAAAAATATATGATAAATGGTTGAAATCACATTATGCTGGTATATACAGTAATATATTCTGGGATGAATATCGCAATATCAAGGGATCCAGACAGTAAGAGAGGACTTTATTAATTAAAAATTGATTTGTCTACAAAAGTTGAATGAAAAAATATATGATAAATGGTTGAAATCACATTATGCTGGTATATACAGTAATATATTCTGGACACATTAGTAATATAGGCATGTATACATGTCACTCTCTTTTCATTACATGGGCATCAGTGCAGGGCTCTTTGCCTACTATTCTGGTGACTATGCAATGAAATACAGATCAAATTATTATAATAGAAAATAAAAAAATATATGATTGCTTATTGTCATGGTTGGTAAACCACATACAACACTAGACAACTAAATTGCAGCTGTGCAAATCCAAAGTTGTCCATGTAAAACATGTATAATATACACAAAAAATATGACTGCAGCTGTGCAAATCCAAAGTTGTCCATGTAMAACATGTATAATATACACAAAAAATATGACTAGCTATGCAACTAGACCTTGTGCTCCATCACACATAGCACCTTAAAATAATATTTGTTCTAAAAGTGCTCTTTGCAAAAAATAAAAAGGTTGTACAAATACAACTGGCCAAATTAAATACATGCACAAAATGTTTATGTTTACGAATCATTCTTGTTCTAGATTTGACCACACTCATATGTACACTATGTACAAATACACTGGACCAGTGTAGCTTTTTGAAAGAATTCTAGACATCACTTTAAAATAATGAAGTTCTCACAAAATAAATAAGCTGTCCAAAGAGAAATAATAGTTCACTCTATAAAMATTTCGTCTTCCAAAAAATGAAAGAAAAGACTTATCAGGGTGCTGATGGCGAAACCAACCGTGAACTATTYTGCAAAGCTACAACTGATTGCCATGTTCCAGCCCCGTTGCAGTAACTAGACAAATGACCTAGAATCTTAAAAAAAAACACACTGGCCCTATGTTAACTATTTAACATGCATAATATTACAATAAATTGTCACTCAAAAAAGTAGAAAATATGTCAGCAAGAATAAGTCTTTGCATGAAATGCTCACTGGAGTCTAYATTGATAAAAAACTCTATTGGATCTTGGTAAAAAAGGTATAAAATGAGTACATATAAATATGTTCACTCTACTTCCCAAGGTTTGTCCTGTGCATCGTGTAGATTAATTATGGTTGTAATGGGCATTAACTCCCCRCGTTCATCCTTGTACTTCTCTTCAAATTGACGAATGTCCCCACCACATTCATACTTGAAAATATCCACTATTTTATTCCATCTTGAAATCTTGCTTCGYTGACTGGCTTTTTGTTGTGGCGTCCACTGACACACTGGTGGCATGTCCCCTAGACCATTYTCCCAGAAGTAGATAACATCTAAAGCACTTACTCTCTTTGGGAGAATAAATTCTGGTGCGGGATGTAATCCAGATGGTGAGGTGACTTTGCTGTCGACTGAGTCGTCATCAGCAGATTCTGTTTGGTTTGAGTTTAGATCTTGGATGTCAGCCATTGTTGGGCCAACAAGGGTGGGTTTCTCCAAGGGAAGCTGCCTAACAGGGCCAACAGAGCCAACAGAACCAACAGAGCCAACAGAACCATTTATATTCATTGGCTTGTAGTATGTGACAGGCTCATTTTCGAGATCATATTTAGCAAGAATAGCAGAGATTGGTAATAGTTCACCTTTAGCATTTGAAAAACGTTCCTCAAACCTGGGCCAACTTCCGCTACAGTCCTTTCTGAAAATATCCACAATCTTCTTCCATCGGAACAGCTTTGTTTCATGGCCAACACGGTGGATTTTTGGCCATGTCGACACTGGAGGAAAGCGATCACATCCTTCTTCCCACAACTGTACCACATCCTTGGCAGAGACTTTACGTGGTAATTGGTAAAGTTCAATCTTGGAGCCATCAGGTGCTTCCTGGACCACACCTGTGGGGCTAAAACACATACTGCTACTGGAGCCTGTGTCTCTAGCATCATGCATGGCTACTATTGTAGTGATTGGAAGCAATTCACCTTTTTCATCAGTAAAGGTTCTATCAAACTCTTCCATGTTGCCATTGCATCGATACTTGTAGATGTCATAAATCTTAGCCCAGCGTGAAAACTTACTGCGCTGACCTGATTTCTGGGCAGGGCTCCAAGTAGATAGGGGTGGTATATCCCCATATCCTGTCTCCCACATCTTGATGACATCCTTAGCTGTGACTTTACGAGGAAGGATGTAYCTGTCATCTCTCCTAGGATGAAAAGAGCTGCTAGCATCACCACCATTGCTGGTGAAGGAATCATGAGTTCCAAAGGTATTGTGTCCAGGYGGYCCYAATGAGAAGACATCCTCKGCATCACCAAGATTTGGGATTTCAATCTTGACTTCCACTGGCTCCATGGTGTGTTCTGCCTTAACAATCACAGTCTCTGCATTCCCTGACCCATTGAAGGAAGAACTGGAGGTAAAACTTGAAATCACAGAATTTCTTCTTGGCTCGATTTTGTCAAATACAGGTCCTTGTACAACATGCTCAGCATCGTACTTTGAAATAATGGCTGAGATAGGAAGGGGAAGACCTCTTTCATTGCAGTACTTCCTATCAAAGTAATCCCAATTACGATGACAATCAGTGATGAAAATATCCACAATCTTCTTCCAACGAAAGATCTTAGTTTCCTGGCCAATTCGTTGTGCTCTGGACCAATTGCCAACAGGTGGAAAGTCTTCACATCCATTTTCCCATAAATGGACAATATCTTTAGGAGTAACTTTTCTTGGTAAAGTGTATCGTATTTCTACTGAAGAATCTGCTTTGTTTGGTGTGTTTTCCCTTGGTGCTTGATCGGATGCTGTTCGTTTATGGCTATCCAACGAGGTGTCTGACATCTGGCTGTCATCTTCAATGTAAAGTCTTGGTGCCCTCTCTTCTTCATCAACTCTGTATCTGGTAGGACTGTGGGCACCATTTTCCTTTGTTGGTGTATTAGACAGTAAAAATGCAGGAGTTTGCTGAGTTTCAAACAACGAGAGAATTGTAGTCACAGGTAAAACTTCACCCTTGCTATCTGAGAAACTCTTCTCAAATTTGCTCCAATCTCCACCGTAACCATTTTGAAAGATGTCCACTAGTTTCTTCCACCTGGAAATCTTACTTTGCTGGCGCAATTTCTGAGTAGGTGTCCAGTCTTTTAAAGGCGGGAAATCATCACAACCATACTCCCATAAATGGAGTACTTCTCTTGCTGAAACTCTCCGTGGCARTTCAAATGGTATAACTCCATTTTGCTTTGTTGAGACTGGAGATGAGCTYTGTACCCTTGTATAATCTGTCATGGTTATTGTGTCTGAGTGTGAAGTAACATAGCTGGGGATAGATGCAGTGGCAATCACCTTTCTATCTGTGGGTTGAGTTTCAGCTGGAATGCTGACGCAATCTTCTCTTGTTTGTTGTGGTGTGCAAGCTGGCATAGGCATTCTCTGCATCATTGTACCCCCACTGGTTAGAAGGTGATTYTGTGCTTCTACTAAGTCATTGAGTTTTTTGTAWGATTCTTCAAGTGCTCGGTTTTTATTTTGTAGCTGGCGAACCTCTTTTTCTAAGTCCTCCAGTCGCCGCAAGAATTGCACTGGTATTGGTATATCAGGATTTATTGTGACTGGTTCTTCTCTTACTTTCTTTGTTGGAATCAAACCAACTTGGTGCATATGATTCATTTCTTCATCACTCAGAACACCACCTTCTTCAGCTATATCTGTCCAAGATAATCAAAGAAAAAAAAATTATATCAATAATGAATAAAATTATAACTAGACATAGAATCAATAAGATCGAATTTAAAAAATAAATATTTTTTCCTGGCAAAACATTACAACACAACACCAAAATCTTTTAAATGATTTTCATGGTATCTCTAACTGCAGAAATGTATTCACCTTCCATTTATACATAAGAAAGTGGTTTAAATTACCTTCATTATTACTGCCATGTGGACTGTCCTGTGGTGTATCCTCTGGGGTGTCCTGTTGCGTATCTTGTGTTGTATGTATTGGGACATCAGTATATATAGGTAGAGGTTCTAAATCAACATGGTGCTGAGTGGTAGTAATTGAAKGAGTCCCTTGCCCATCCAATGGGAAGTCATGAAAGATTTGCACACTTTCTAAAGTTTCTCCACCAGTATATGGAGATGGATCAGGTTCACTGTCATCATCTAGTTTAAGTTGTTTTCGACTTTCTTCTTCGTCAACATCTGCTTTTCTAAAGAAAAATGCAGAATGAAAAAAATTCAATAATCTGCATATCATATATTAAATAAACCTCCAAACAAAAATACAAAATATAAGAGAATAATATTAGAAATCTTCCTAAGATCTTATCAAATAAGATTTAAAAAATACCTTTTGCCAATGGGAGGGTTATCAAGGGAAACTTCGTAAGGTACATCATCATCATTACCATTATCAGTCTAGAAATAGGACAATAAGAATGCATTAAAATACATTATGGTTGACTTTAAAACTGTTTTTTTTTTAGTACTAGCTAGCTTTAGCCTGTTTATGGATCTATCTTTTGATATCACAGGGARAGACAAAAAGCACTAATTCATGAAATAAAAAACACAAGGCATAGCTTTTCTAAGCCTCTAAGATTCAATTAACTGACAGCTGATATACAATTGACCTTTGCTTCARTTAGTGTAAGGCTGGTCTTCTGTTTGGTCAGGGTTAGCAATCTACTACTCAAGGTCTTAGCATAATTGAGGAGATACTSTTGTCTGTTTCTCCACCAACAATAGTTAGCTAATGAAGTCTTATATATATATAKGACTTGTCTCACAAAATTTCTCTTTATGGTGCCCCTAACCAGCAGTACTAATTCTTTATAAAACTGTAGCCCTAAGATACACTATCTCATGCAAAATGCAGGCACTATATAMTTGYGCAATGGTAAAATTATRCTGGAGGCATTGAGGTCAAAAGAAACATTGGTTAATGATGTCTGGCACAATGTCATTACTGTTAARCATAAAAAAATGAACTATACAAATTACGAGATAGTGCAGGGCCATTTTCTAGCAGTTTTCACATTGTATAAGCAGTGATTTCTTTCTTCTAGAAAAAAACACTGCTAATTACTTGGAAGTAGACAGTAAAGAACAAAAGAAAACAATAGCTTTTGAATCTACTACTGACCACTTTGCATTTTTTTCACAGATGATTAGCAAAATAAATTGTTATCTTCTTGTCCGATTCAAGCAATTGAAGTTATCCATCATAACTTGACTTTTACAATTGTTCTCATTGACTATACATTTTTGCTCTGTTAAAAAATTCAACAAGTTATGTCTATGGATATAACGACTTGTATAGCTGTATTTAAGACTTAATTATATTTCAATTTTCAGMAGTTAATTGCATGTAATGATATCAAATTTTACTGTTTTTACACATCAATAATGTAATTCTTAGTATTAATATTCGATGTACTTTCTGAAAGAACGCGTCAGTGGAAAAATGAATAAAAGATCATTATCRTTCAACCAGAACAGACAAATTGAATATTCCATGACCAACAAAAGATAAAACTTAGTAGGAAATGAATTCGCATGTTTAGTTAAATATATTTTTTAATAACAAAACGACGGATTTTACAAAAACATTGCAAAACGAGCTCCTTGTGGACAATCAAAACGATCAACTTTGCTTTGAGTAATAATATACAGCCCCGCATAGTGACACAGTCAAAATAAATAAGGGCACTGGAACTTCGCAAACTGTGTGTAAAATAACCTTATCAAGTTACAAACTTGCATGTCAATGAAACTAGTCTCATTTTTCATCTCTTCGGTAGTAAAACAAGATAGCGTCCCTATGCAAGAATAAAATTCAATGAAAAGAAAGGATACGAAGCGAATCGTATTACCTATGCAAAAGTATTATACGATTAAAAACACAAACAATGCCGTTTTGTTGTTACCAAAAGAACARCCAGCGCGGTTCAATTTTTTGGAAGAATTTCTAATGAAGATTGGAATGTCAACCTTGAAAAGCCTTCTTTGAGTACTTTAAGTAAAATCTTAAGATGACACCAATGTTTAAACACAATAAGAGTCCAAGCGATAAAGTGAACTTCTCATTTCCATTACAATCCCATAGCGTAATACTGACGGAAAGTTATGCATGCATAACTAGCTTGATATCCCTTTTAAAAATAACCCGTTCCCATGTCCTATTACAAGCTGCATCGCCAAAAAATACTAAATGAGATATTATGTTTAACGATATTAGTGGGTACAGCTGGCTGAGAGTACATGAGAATGGGTGATTAACGCTAATGGCGGTCGAGCAAGCTGACTGATCAACATCACTTCGCATTCTCGAACATAACAACTTTGATTTCAAAACACTACTCACCATAGCTGGCAGCTCTTCCGTAGTCGCATTCTCGGAAATCTTGGAGATAATAGAGTGTAGATTCTCTCTGTTCTTACATCTAGAAGGAAGACAGATCATTGAGAAAGAGAAAAGCAATTTAGTTCAGATTTGTAAACGCAAGAATCATTTCTAGTCAGTCACATGGCTTGACCCAAATCAGAGCAAAAACTTTCCACGAGCTCAAAATTTGACAAGAACACAACTTTGCCCGATGCCAAATGACTTCTCAATGTTTCCTCACCCTGGTCGAACTACATCTTGGATAGTTTCTTCCATTTCTTGGTTTTCTAAAACGAAAAAATGAAACCCTTCAAATGGAAGAGAATTTGAAAGAAAGAGATCTTTGTATGCAGGGCTGCGCCCAGTCCGCGTTAACAACGTGAGGGACTAGGACAAAACATAGCAACGAGGCTGAATGATAAATATTAGCTCGAAATCAGAAGCCATTATCTTTTAAAACAAAGTGGATTTGAAAAGCTAGATAATTGATAATGATGTTACACATCTGTGYAGTTTTTTTTGAAGAATAATATTACTAAGATTAAATGTCAAGTTCACTGAGGGGTAAATCCATCAACGCGGTTGTATATCAGGAGACTGGGTCAAAGAAAATAAACATGARAGCGAGGGTAAGTCTTAAATTCAATATGGCAGACGACGGAAGAAGAACATCTTTTATGGAAAAATCGAAATGACCCAGATAATATACCAAACTGATCTAAGAAATAATGTCTTTAGCGGCTGCTGATAAGCTTTTAAAGATTTTTGAAGCTTTGAAGAACTATCGAGATGGGATTCCAGTCGTTGATTCCAATCCTTTGGCAAAGTAAGAACATCGTCAGATGTTGTGTTTTGAATCCTTGCCTAATTAAACTTAAGCTTAAATATAATTTATATGAATACTTATATAATGCAGGTCAGTTTATAATCTTGAATTTATTGGAGACTGTATTTTCTATATGTAAATTTACATGGGAATATTAATTACATTAAATTATATGCTTCTGCAGAATCCAGCCACAGTTGCAATAAAACTTATAAGCTAACTAAATTTCTAGGATGTGCAATTAATAGTCATGCCTATTGCAATGAATGCATTGTGCTTTTGCACACTCTTTAACCAATATAGCTGAACGTTACAATATAGCTGTGACGTTCTTTTTGTGTGTGATGAAGTATACAATCAGCTGTTTTCACAAAAATAAACTATCATGCCTGGCACATGAACACTAAAGTGAGTTTGTTGATAAACCTTAAGTATTACTATTAGAGCTGTGCCAGTTGTATAATAAGGATAGAGATGGATATTTAAGTCTATGAGATAAAGGGATTATTAGGTTATCTGATGGATAACACAAGTCACACTCCTAATTAGACAGGGCTGCTGTGGTTGATTCACAAAAATATATATCATTTTAAAACAGAAAGAAGGAAGTTCTTCTATCCAAGAAAGACAGATTTTTACACATAGGAACTATCCCAGACTTAGTTTGCTCCACACAGATAAAGTAAGTATGTGTACTGAAAAGTACAAATGATATTGTATTGTAAATTTTCTTGGAACTGTACTCAGTGATGATTATTGTTCATTTCAGAGGTCTACAGGAATTTCCTAAGCTTCTTGCCATCGCTGTTGAYAGTCTACTAGCATCTTGTAATGATGATGAATCAGATGTTCGCCTTGTGGCTGGAGAGGCTCTTAATAAACTTTTAAAGGTAATTATAGTATAAATACATTGTAGCTACCCCTGGAAGCATAATTCTGATTTTTATTGAGTTTCCTGCGTCTCAGTTCCATCTAACATTAATGCCATTACAAAGGAAGCCCAATCAGGAACATATAAAATGTGAATCAGGCTGTAAAGGAGGCTAGCAATTGTAGTAATGCTAGCAAAAAGCTGTAGTATATTGTAGTATATGATATATCTACAACGATTATGTATTTATGCATAGTGTTGGTGATATGAAACTCTGTTATGCATTGTCTGTTGCAGGATCTAATTGATTCCAATCTCTCTCGTTTACTTGTTGAACTATACAAAGAAATCAAAAAGGTTAGCATTTATCATAAAAAAAACATAACACCATGAGATTCGTTRCAAAACAATAAATTTTATTCCAAGGTCCAAGGTCACAGGGAAATGTAATRTGATGGTATTAATATCAAAATGTCATTATTTGTTATTAATTAAAAATTATTATTAGAATGATGCTGCCAGRAGYCTTAAAGTYGCTCTTACAAGATTTGCTGACATAGCWCATCTTATACGACCACAAAAATGCAGGTTAGTTTTTTCGATTAGTTTTTCTATTTGTAGGCCAATATAATCATGAACATTGTAAATATATATAAAATATTAATAAATTAAAAAAAAATAAAATAAAATTCACTATAGAATAATATGGTGTGACGTCTTTCTCATGTTTTTATTTTCGAAACTAATTTCAGACCATTTGTTGCTAATTTGCTCCCTTGCTTGGGTCGAATATGCACACGCACAGAGGACCAAATACAGGTGAAATAAGAACTCTTTTTGAAAAATCAAGAACTCATTTGTTTTGACCATTATGATTGATAATGTTTATGTTGAAATAATATTTATAGGAAGCACTAGGGATTGCCATTCAAAAGATCTTTCCAGTCCTTGGAAGTTTTACAAGTGATGTTGAAGTCAAGGTATACAGTGCGATAATGTGTATTATTTAACTCGTTTAAATCATGCTTTCGCCCTATTTCCCACTAGGGAAGATGGGGATAAATGAAATCATGCTTTCATTGGTTGGGGCTTGTTATGCTATTCAAGCATAATGCAATATCAGAAAYAGCAAAAAAATACTTTTCTTCCACCCAATCTCTTTCTAGTCAATTAGATTGACTATAGCCCTCACATTTCTTGTATGCTTCATTCATATTATTTCATTATTAAGAACATTGTATGCTCGTTATATTTCAAAAATGTCAAATTGTCCTATAATAGATTTTCATGTTTGTTTTCAGCAATTAATGAAGGCATTCATTCCTAACCTCAAATCTAACCAAGCAACTGCTAGGCGTACAGCTAGTTCATGTCTAGCCATCATCTGTCAGCATTCTCGCAAACCAACTATGTTTTACGAGTGGCTTATGAACATCTTACTTGGTAAATATTTATATCCTTGGTCCATGGTAACATGTAGGATTGCATTATGCACATATTTAAGCTCAATTGCTCATGATCCATAGAATTTTGTAGGTAATTTGTTGAAGATATTCATTAATTTTTAATTATGATAAATATTTATGATTTATGATTATTATCAAATTATTTCTATTGCGCTTYCTTTTCAAGGAATGGTTCTACCGTTGCAAGACTCAAAGCCATCTCATGTTTACCTTGGAGTGTTGAACTGCCTGAGGCAGTTAATTCCTCATCTTGAAGATTCCTTCTCAAAAGATGACAGTTTGAAAGGAAGTTTTGGGTCATATCRTAGTCTGTCTGTTAATGGAAGTATTGGGCAGAAGGAAGTTAACTTAAAACAGTTGTTACAGGTGAAAACGGCAGGAGATCTCATTTCTTCATTCTGTTCATTAATCCATGCGTTCATTCATTTGTTCATTTAATTTATTGTCTATTCATTCAATCAGCCATATGCATTTTCCATTCATTTATTCATAAATCATTCTATTCTTAATGAACTTATTCTAAAAAATATATATTCAATATTCATTGTAACTTGCCTGACAAGTGTGGCCTTTCTGATGACCATACAAAAGCAGCTTGTAGCAATGAAACAATGAATCATTCTAGTCATTAAGTACAATTATATTTTATTTAATATTCAATGTCATTTCACTTTTCATTCATGCAATGATTCTCCCACTCATATCTTATGATTTCACTTATTTGGCCATCCATTAACAAAGTCTTTTCTTTATAGATTTACGAGGTAATAATGCAATGTACTCGACATAGCGACCATAATGTCATCAATGCTGCACTAGAGACGCTTCATCAGCTACTACGCACTCCACCAACACCACTCCTGACAGTACTGTTGTCTAAAGATGGCATAACACCCTCTATAAAACCAGATACCGTTGCTGGAGGTGAGACTRTCCTGCYTATKRATCCCTACCCTTCCCCCTGTGGGTAAAAWACACAAGGGGAGGGTCAGGGAAATCCATGCTGTTAATGAGATTATTTCTTGTTAATAAATATAATGTATTACTGTAGCTTGACCTGTGAATAATAATACCTGGTAAAAATCCAGATGACAGGACTAGTATTGAATAAATGTGAATGCTGCCTTGTCTGTTTAAACAGATGACAAGTATTGTCAATAATTATAATATATTATTGTGTTTATGGATGTTTGCTATTATGTATGTTATTCAGATGACCTTGAGTCAACAAGTGAGAGAGATTCAGCAGTTGGAGAYCTGGATAACYTGTCTACTCCACCACAGGATGTCGACAGTGTCTCAGACATWACAAGCACATCAGATTTTTCTTCTCGTGATGATRCAGTGTCTGTAACAACAACTTTGTCAACTGCTGATTCAACGGACGAACTAACAAAGCAAATAAGTACTCTTACAACTAACCAATCGCCTGATATCAAAGACTCGACAACTGACTTAGAAATGGATGAAAGTGAGAGTGAAGACACTTTTGGKAGTAAAATTCTAAATCTCTCTGGCCCAAGACCAAGTAGGTCCCTATCAGACCCTGGTGTTTTACCAGACGAAGAGGACAACAATCAGTCTGTTGGTGCATCCCATAACGATGACAGCCACCTCGAAACCGAAATTCCTGATAACCCAATTCATGAGAGTGATCGCTTAAATGATGATCTTGGGGAACTGAGTCAAGTCTCTGAATCTTTGCGAACTGAGTCRGTGAATACACAGGAAGTTCGTGTGCTTGTGGAAAGTAGTTTTGAAATTGATGCTGTYGCCTGTGAGGGGGTACCCATGGTTCATATTGTCCGTGTGATGTCATCATTCTTGTTATCTGGACGTCCAGGTGAAGTTCTTSCTGACTCTAATGTACGAGTTAGTGTCAAGTCCTTGGCWCTTTCTTGTATTGCGCAAGCTGTTCGGTTACAYCCTGAGTCCTTTCTAGTTGGTATTTTACCAAACAGCACAACTAAAGATCAGTTAATAAGAGATATCTTGTTATTTAATGCTCATCCTGATCCTCAGTTACGTGGTGGGCTGGCATCTGTGTTAAGTCATCTGATCGCTGCAGGTCTTAAAAAGGGAAGGTACTAAAAACATTGTAATTTTGTAGTTTACATTTTTACCTATTGTTTTTATTGACGTTTAATCGTTTTGTTAATTTGCCAGGCTGAATTTCAACCAATGGAGTGAAACATGTTGTAGTGAACACAACACAGGTTTGTAGAAAAATGCATGATGATATCTGTTATAATGTAAAAAGATAAATTTAACACCGTAAAAAAGTAGTTGAAACAACCTACTTACGTTTCAAATGTTAATACTTCATTGGAGTAAAGATGAAGGATTAATGTCCAAAAAGACAGTAAGTTGTTTCACCTTCTTTTTATACATTGTTAAATTTATCTTTTACACAACTGTTTCTTTAGAAACACTGACGCAGCTCACACTAGTTTACCATTAGTTTTCACCATTTTGAATATATCTGTTACAGCTGTTTTAAGTGTAGAAAGGGTAGTTTCTGTGCTGGGAGGAATTCTACAAGATGACTCACCTGTTTCTGTAAGGCAAGCCTGCTCAGCATTGAAGGTAAAATTATATGAACTGATTTTATTGAATGGAGAAATCRGGTTAAAGCATTTATAACTGCATCAATTATTTTGCTAGGGTTGCTTCCATGTTTTGTGTGCCAGTGAACACTGTCACTTGGTTCAAGACCTCATTGATGTAATAATTCAACTGAGGAAAAATACCTACTGGCTTGTTAAGGTAATTAAATGTTTTTTCCTGTCTGTTGTAGGCTTTCTTGATTATTTGCYTTTTGGGGGGAATGGTGTTTATTTTTCTTTATTGCTTACTTTTTTATTTCCATTACTATTGTCCTTTTAAGCTGACATTACTAATTCATGTACATGTAGGTTGAGGTTCTAGAGTTGGTTGAGGCCATGGACTTTAAGTAAGAATATCATCGATATATTTACTATTTTTTGTATTGTGATGTAAAGTACATTGTCATTAATTCAGATGTGTTCCTCACTAATGAGACATCTTAAAAGATACTAACTAGTAATCATTCGGTAATAGAAACCTTTCACAGCTACAATAGACATTTTTCACAACTTAACTTTCATTAAAACATACTTGTCATTTTACTCCACTGCAAATGCATGGCTGTCTTTCAAGAAACTCTGAACGAGGCTATTGTTTTTGAAACGTTGAATAAAATCATTGAGGTATCATTGTTGCAGATTAATTGCATACTTGGAGTCAAACAAAAGCTTTCATTCAAAGGAAATCACTGAAAAATGTCTAAATGTGAGTATTCATGACAATTCTCTTTGCATTAACTAAAGTTTCTGAAACTGATGTCTGTCAACCTTAGTACACAAGTATACAAGACACTGTACTTTATGACGTTGTATTTGCAATGTTAAGTGATGACGATGGACGTGTGAGACATGCTGCTGCTAACTGCTGTGTCAAGTAAGTTTTAAATCAATTTCCAGCACTTTTTGAATTAAGTCATGGACCAGTGACAGAAATCACAGCAAGGTAACCCAGCTAGAGAGGCTCTGGGACAACAGCTAGACCCTGAACTTTAACTACTGATAGTTGGATATCAAGGTGTTCAACCAAATTATTTTACAAATCTCTCATTCATAAATCTTTACTTCTTTGAACCACAATCCTATACACAGGGTCTGTGTAGGTCCTTAAATCCTTAAAAATTGAAAACTTGCTTTCAAGGGCACTTAAAACTCCTTGTAAATGTGAAAATTTAGAAAAAGTCCTTGAAAACTCCTTGAAAAAGATAGATCTCTATCACGAAGCTCTAGCGATCTCTGAATGTAAGTGTCTTGTAATGAAATAATGTGATTTAAAAGCCAGCCTGTCAATTAAACCCAGGCTAGTGAGTCCATTATAATCATTCTTATCATTTTAAATAATCAATACTAGTTTAATAGTAAACAATTATTCATTCATTTGGTAGCAATATCATTTTGTTTCAGACTGGTCCCTAAACTACTAATGACAATGGGAAATATGAAACAGCAAGCCATCTCAAGGACTGTTTGTAACAGATTAGGTTTGTTTCCTTGTATTTTATACTTTAAGGAGGTCTTAGGGTCAAAAACTGTTTAATGCAAATATGCATTTGTATCATTGCATGTTCATTTCACAAAAAAATGATTCTACTGTTGTTTTTATAGATGAACTGAATATCAGCAAAGATCATCAGCAAAATTCCAATATCCTTCAAAAYTTATCCAAATTGGTATCAATGGCAACAGAAATGCTAAATCATACCACTTCAAAATTTCARATGGTGAGCTTTGCTACTTCTGCAGCCAAATTGTTGTTGTTTTAATTTTGGATTCCCTGTGGAAAATATAAGAGAGGAGACTAGTGAAACACAGGAAGCCCAATATTTCTTGAGAGAAACTAGGGATGATGATGACGCTGCACAGCGATGTAGCTGTCCTTTTTGTTTGTGAAAATGGTCACAAAGTAAACCTCATGAAACATGAAACTATATCATTGTAAACAATGCAATATGCTCCACCAATGCTTCCTTGGTTGTAAGAACTCAAAGGGAAGATTAATAATCTTTATTTTATGTTTTTCYTCCACCCAACAACTCATTCAGGTTGGATGTATACATCTTCTTCATGTTCTTGCCCAGTCCTTCCCAGTGGCTTCCTACCCAGGRGCCTGGGGCTGTACAGTAGCTATACATTGTAGCTCCCCTGCTTCTCCACACTTTTCTGGTAAAGGCACCCCACCCCGTCCTGGTAGTCCRAACATGTGCTGCAGAGGGGGAGGTGGTGCTTTATCTTTTGCTGTTTCTAGTGTAACAACATCATGGATAGCTTATGATTTAGTGGCTCATCAGAATCTTTTGCAGGTAATAATTCATTATATTTCATAGTTTTTTTTGCGGACATGGACAGCAGTGTTGCATTCATTTATCTGTATTATAACTGCCATTGTTAAATGCATTATACATGCAAGTACATTATTTATGTCTTGTTTAGTTTTCCCTGTTAAGTCTGGTTTTGTGCTTTGTAGCTTGCAGGTCAGTTGCTMTTTGGTATTGCTGCCTCAGGCATCCAACTTTCTGTCAAGATGAACCAGCATTCAGAGGAGACCTCATCAAGTACCCATGAAGCCTGGAATGTCTTCAGTGATATTTCTGTTGCTCCTATTGCAGAAAAACTTATTGTACACCTTTTAAGGTAATTTAAAGACACTATCTTCTTAATAGGACTTTGCCTAGATCCTGAAAACATTTTAATTGACAAATTTTAATTTATTTAAAAATAATATTGTTACTTCAGAGTCTTAAACATATTTTCTCACTTGATTGACGGCATCATGACACCTGGGGCTCATTCATTCAAAGTAAGTACTGATCATAACAATAAAGCATTGAACTTCATGTAGATGGAAGACTTTATCACTACTGTGTGTTATTCAGATTAATTTCCCAGGTCAAAATAAAGATAAAGACAAAACAGCCCACTCTCCTTCTTCAACTTCATCTCCGCAGTCTACCTCATCACCAACTCCAATCCAACATGTGTCGGCAGTACCAAAACGGCTCCTCAAATCAAAAAGAACTATGTCTGAAGCTGATCTTGCCAGCGCAGATAAATCACCTTCCAAATCAGGGGGTGGGGGTCAGGGTACTGATAGTGAGCCAGCACATCCCCATACCCCTACCCCCAAAAGTACTAGTGGTACATTTCATAATTTACCCCATTATATGAAACTGTTTGATGTGATGAAGGGAGCATTTTGTAACTATCAGGTATGTTTTTTGCTCTGCTATGCTATGCTCTGCTCTGCTCTGCTCTGCTCTGCTCTGCTCTGCTCTGCTCTGCTCTGCTCTGCTCTGCTCTGCTCTGCTCTGCTCTGCTCTGCTCTGCTCTGCTCTGCTCTGCTCTGCTTGATTCTAAAAATCTAAAGGTTTTTGTCCAATATTAATATTTTATTGTTTCATCTTATTTTAGGTTAGTCTTGCACCACAAGACAAGTTTGTAAGTTTTCTGCAGAACACTCTAGATGTCCTTTCACATTTCATGGAAATATTATCATTTACAGACATTAATAAGGTATTATAATAATTGTAGTTAAACTTTTATGAAATGGTTTATAATCAAACAGTTGTTTTCTTCAGTTTATGTTATCACTCTAATGCAAATGACTTCAGCTATGATTATACTTTATCTACTTGATTTTTAAGCACAGAACCAAATTCTTATTTGTTTTTAGCATTTTGAAGAGATACTAGGATACCTTCAAGTTTGTGTTAAAGTGGAGCCTTGTAAGACTTTGCTAAGTGTACAGCAGGTAAATTTGCTTCTCTCATGACAGAATTTACATTTAATAAGATGATGAAATGTGTCTWTACCAACAAGTAGAGAAGACTAGTTCAATTTAAATTAAAGTGGGCTGTTTTGGTGTTCCCAAAAACACATTTTATGATAAGAGCGTTTTGATAAAATGTATTATGCATGATGAAAGTTTAAGATGTACTTACTCTGATGTTTTGGACATCGGTCCTTGGTTGTAAAAAAAGAGTCGGTTTCCAATCCTCTAATATACATCCTGGTTTAAGTGTGAACAGTTTGGTCGAAGATGACTTCTTTAACTTTGTTTTTTAGCTTTTACGTGTCATGTTTGGAGTTAATGCTGTATCACAAGCAGATCTAGTCCAGTCGGCAGTGTTTCCAAGTTGCCTGGAAAGAACTTTAATTACTTTACCTACCATCGGATCGTCATCTGATGATGACAATAGTGGAKTATACAAGGAACTATTTGAGTTTCCTCAAATGCTGTACCGCCAATCTATTGAAAAAGTCATACTGAAAGATGAGGAAGGAGAAAGTTCTTTGAAAAGGTTATTGTTCTTGTTGTTATCTAACACGAATTTAAAAAGCATGATTTCTCACCCTTATGTATGTGAGAATGTTAGGCTGTATTATTATCTAATTTTAGTCTTACAATAAAAACTGCAGCCCTAACAGCCAAATTTTTCGTACAACAGGGGTATTGGAAGCCTGTTTAAAAAGATTCGTAAAAGAACAGGATCACTTATCMGACCTTCTGTCAAGATTGACAAAGTAAGTAGGCTTCTCGATCATTAGGGTATTACAGGCTTCTTGTAGCCAGCTAAAATCATGTCTTTTTTCATTTCAGCAATCACCTATCCATTCATATATTCGTCTCTTTGAACCCCTTGTMATTAGAGCTCTTAAAGAATTTACTATCACAACTTCCATTTCCCTTCAACAACAAGTTCTCAGTTTATTAGCTCAGCTCATCAAGCTACGTGTGAATTATGCACTCCTTGATGCAGACCAGGTATTAAATTTTCTTCTGTTGTACAAGTTTATAGTTCTTTAATCATAGCAGCTATGTAATATTCCATGAAGACTATTGAACTCAGCTTCTTATTTTTGTAGTTTTTTTAGTTAATGGTGTTGTAATATTTTTTTAAACTTTATTGTGATTTATTAGGTCTTTATAACATATATTCAAAAGCAGTTTGAATTTGTTGATGCTGGYCAAATCAAGTAAGTCACAAAGCATCTCTAGATTATTTGATTTAAAAGTTTAACTTATAAATAGTCTTCTTACAGTTCCCTGCGCCATCTTGAAAGGTAGTATATAGTCGTGCCTTTGCATTGAAGGGAGACAACCATTAAGGGTGCGATGATAGATACTTTTTTTCACACCTACAGACAATTATTCACAGGTATCTATCATTACATGCTTAACGGTTGTGTTGCTTTGATGTAAAGGCAGACCTACCTTGGGAACCATGAAGGAGACTATTGTATTTTTTTTTTTTCTTTTAAGGGATTGTGATGTACTCCTTCCATTTGTTTTCCAATTTCTTGTCCTGTTGTCATATGATTGCTTTCAACCTAAGTTCAACCAGGCTAAAGCYATTGTAGGAATGCCCAAAGTCATTCAGTTGTGTGATGGTTTGATGGCCAGTGGGCAGTCTGCCAAAACCCATGGTTAGTATTGATTTTCATTGATTTTACMATAATTGTTATATTTATTTTCAAATTTGATATAGTATTACAATTCTGCATTAACTAATTAATTGTACAGCTGTTTGCAATAATTCTGACCCCCTCTGCCATATTTCATATATATCAAACTGACCTTAAATATTATGGGATATCATGACTGATATATTTTTTGAGTTGCCCAGAATGAGTACTTTCTCAAAAAAATATCAGCATTGGTATCCCATAATTTCTAAAGGCTACTTTGATATATATGAATATTAGTGTAGGGGGGTCAGAATTATTGCAAATAGCTGTATTTATAAGTATATTATTATAATAATATATTATATCTGCAGCAATTCCAGCATTACAGCCCATYGTTCATGATCTTTTTATGCTCCGAACTCTTGGCAAAGCTGACACTGCTAAGGAGGTTGAGACACAAAGGGAAGTTGTTGTGTCCATGCTTCTTAGATTTGTTCAGTACTCAGAGGTATGTCTGTCTGTCTGTCTAACTATAGCTTGTTGGTAATGCTCTATTCTATATCACAGAATTTGAACTMTATTAATACATTGCTTGTTAATTATTATGATAATATTAATGATAATTCATGAATGTTGTAGGTGCTTGAGATGTTAACTATWGTTTTAAACTGCTATCAAAGAGAGGACGATGACAAGTGGAAGAAGATGTCAAGA